CATGATAGAAGAAATAGAACAAAAGTGAGAGGGCATTCGATAGAATTGGTCAATAAAACAAAAGTTCCAGCTCGGTCCAGTCAAGCAAACAAAATTAGTATTCAACCGTGCAGTGTTGGGACTATGGTAAGAGCCTAAAGGAAACAAAAACAAAGGCAACCAATCTGAGTTCACCCATAAACAATTGTTTGCTCGGTTCTCATAGGTAGTGTATTGAACTCAACACATATAATATTGTCAAAATAGAGCAAAGGAGAGCAACACATATAATGTTGTCGGAAAGAGCAAAGGAGAGCAGGAAAGCAAGAAGATATTACATCTGCGTTATGCTTCAAAAGGAGTGTCACTATTCTTTCATTTCCCTGGATAGCAGCACAGAATAGCGGTGATTCACCATCTTGACATAAGGGGTCAACATTAGCTCCTTTTGACAACAAGTACTCTGCAATTTCATAGTAGCCTGGAAAAAATATATGGAAAAAAATCACATCAAATTGACTTTTAGGACCTATTAATTACATGTGTTTCATAACGAAAGGATAGTCAACACCAAGAGCTCAATATTTTAAGAATGGATCGTTTTAGCATTTCCATAGGCCTATAAGCTAAATTTAAAATGATATGAAGCACAGAGGCGATTTTGCATTGCAGTATAAGCCCTGGGATGGTTAATACACATCAGGTGTCCATTTGACCTTCTACACAGGCTCCTTTTTGCAACATTCAGCCTAAATAATACAGGTAGGTGACTAATCAGAAGGTGGCCGAATAATCAGTTTTTACTAAGTAACAAGCACAGGGTTATTTCACTGGCCATATTCCAACCAACCTCACAAGCACTGGGCTTCAATGCAGGATCCAGACTTTGTTTCTCTACCAAAGCTAGCATAGTGTCTACGTTCAGGTAATGATAGTTGATCCAATCAAAATGGGATTACGCCTTTTTTTAGCCATGACAAAGTGTGAGTATTGTTCAATTCTGCTTATGTATCTGATTCAAACGGAAAAACAAAATGTTTGGTTTAAGCACATGGGCATCTGTAGAGAAGATAACATAGATAGGCCGGGTTAAAACTAAAAAAAATCAAAGAACACCTAAAAATTACATAACAGACATATGCAAGGGCAGAAAAAACCTTGCGTTGCGGCAATGTGGAGTGGAGTAATTCCAGAATTGTCTGTTTTGTTTGGATCAGCATGATTGTTGATAAGATATTTGACAATGGCTTCATTTCCCTCATGATTTAATGCAAACATAGGGGTGTCGTACCTAGCAAAAGCATAAAATCAGTATATATTGATCAAGAATGATCGATACTTCTCACTCTGACCAAATAAATCGAGCCTAATTGGCACTAAAAACCTCAGCTCTACCCCTTTCTAAACAAACCTCAGCCCCACCTCCTTCTAAACAAACCTCAGCCCCACCCACCTTCGCCCCTAATTGGCTGCTCGCCACGCAAGCGGCCCGCGCGGCCACGACCGCTGCCGCGCCCCCTTTCCTCGCCTTCCCCGCACATCCGTCTGGGCAGCCACGACCGCTGCCATGCCGCCTTCCCCGCGCATCGCATCTGGCCGCCGACCACTCGGTAGTCGCCCACCACGCGCCGCCGCAATACCTCTCTCCCCCCTTTGTCTCGTTTTTTTAGCAACACCACCCTCCCAATTTAGCCCAAGCCCAAAACTAAATAGATGGCCTCGGACCTCAAATCCAAGATTCTTGAAGCGTCCGTTCCCCAACAGTAGAGAGAGGTGACGTGCCGGCGATTTCTCGACTCCCGGCCGGATTCGCTGCTTCTCCTCGCCGTCGGTGGCCTTTTTGGCGCCGATGTGCTTGGGAATGGCGGATGCGGTGGGTAATGTACATATCCTCTTCTGATAGAGTAGTTTTACCTAGAATAAGGTTGGATTTCTAACCGACAGAGACGTTGTCGGTAAGCTTTTGTCCCTTCCACTATTGCTGGTGAGCAAGTCCTGGTGCTGTCTAAGGTGCATGTGGTGATTGATGGTGATATCTTTTGTGGGGATCTCGACATCGATGGGTATGTCATCGATTTTATCTTCTGCGTTAGTGTTTGGTTTCCTATGATTTTCTTGGTGCCGTTGGTGCCCGCGGTGCCAACGATAGTGCTGGACCTGTAATCAGAATACGGTAATGGATATAAGGAGAAATTTTGGAAGGTATGTCTACCAACTCGTAGAGAAACCGGGTTGGGTTTGGATACCACCTTCTCTGGTGGTTTTGCTTCCCTTCAGGTTATATCTTTCTTCGCTGAGTCAGGGCTGTAGGTGGCCTTTGAGGCGTCAGATTCCTTGTTTTACCGGTGATGTGATGGCCGGCGGCCATATTCTTCAGCCAGGACATTCAACGAGCTTACAACATGTCGATGCACGCGATATGCGACTCATGGAGGCATCGAAAAATTGTGAAGAGCTTTCGTCCGGAGGGGGATCGGCTTCGAGCTGTAGATTGCTCCGATCACCGGTGGCGAGGTCAACTGGGAGGACCATAATCTTGCAAGGACTGGGTTATAGTTTCATTTTCCCCGAGAGGGTCATTGTAAGATTTGGTGTAAACATTAAGAAGTTTATGTAATATATTTTTTCAGCTTCTCAAAAAAAAATCTCCTCCGACATATATACACAAATCGCGTGGGAAAAAAAACAATCGTAGGCGAAATCAAATCAAAATACAATAGGCGCACAAATGCGCAATGCAAATTGATAGGCAATTACCATCAATCGTCGCAGCATCGACGTCACATTTGCATTGTGTGATGATGAGCTTGCACATAGCCTTGTAGCCGCTCTGGGCGGCATGGTGAAGCGGTCCGGCAAGCTTTTGGGCCTCGGGGTTCTTCGATGCGTCGAGTTCTGCCGGCTCTCCCCACACTTGTCCACATCGATATCATCCAGCCTTTTTGCTAACTCTGCACCAAATTCCATCCCCAGTTTATCGCAATTCACATCGCTTGTAGAACCGAATTAAGATCATAACCATCTCTAGCGATTGGAGTAGGAAGGGGGGGAGGGAGAGGCTACTTACTCCTCGCCCGTACGATGTCCTTGCGAAGCACTGCGACAGAGAGATCGACGGGGTTGCGCTGATCCCTGGTGAAGCTCTCGCTGCTCTGTTGTAGAAGCAAGCTGATTCTCGACAACTCCTCCTCGGACCGTTGCGACTCCGATGAGGAGCCCGCCTCATGACCGCGATCCCGGTCAGAGCTGAGGACAGGGACGAGATGGAGGAGGCGAGTCGCGATCGCGGTGTGAGGTCGCGGTCGCGGCTTCGCTGATCGTCCGCCTCCATAGCGGAGCGGGGCGAGCTCGAGCGCTCTCTGTTCTAGACGCGACGGAGAGAAGTACGAGGCGAGAGCGTGCGCTCGGTTCGAGGCGAGACGGAGAGGAGGAGGACGAGAGGAGAGCGGTTCGAGACGAGACGCAGGGGAGAAGGTGAGAGCCGGAGAATGAAACGAGCGGGAAGGCTCAATTGGGGCGCTCCATACTTATTGTGCGGAGTAGAGAACAGCCGGCGAAATTTGAATCGAACCAACATGCGTCGTGTGTAGAAGATTCCTATACATGCGTAGTGTCCATCGTGGTCGCCCCTGGGAAGGAGGGCAAGGGCAGCGTGCGCGTCGGCGGCCATCGTGCCAAAGTCGTCGTTCTCGGAGGAAAGCAGCGCCATGCCGCCGTCCGCGCCGCCTGCATCATGCACCTCCCTTGCGCCCACGACCGCGCGGCCTCGAGGCTGTCTCTGGCTGCGGTGGCGTTGGCCGCCGCGAGCCTGGCCGCGGGCGCGTCGTGGCACCGCGACGACGGGTCCGGGCACAGCACGACGAGCTCCGGTGTCACGTAGTAGCACTGTAGCAGCCGCCTATACCGCCGCACACGTCGTCTAGCGCCGTGCTCGCCCCGACGGTGATGACAGGCGCGAAGACGAGGAGTACAGCAGATAGCATGGGAGTGGAGGCAGCCATGGTGGCAGTGGCACCCCTCTTCCTGTGTCTACGAATCTTTGTGTGTGATGGATGGATGCTATATCCACCAGCCGGCCAAGAAAATCTGGTTTCATTTGGTGTTGATCTAGAATCGCAAGATCGCACTCATAAGACTACGAAAATGGAATTCTGTAGTGATCTATTAAAGCTTGCCGGTTGTGAATTAAAATGGAGATGTGGTGGGAAGATTCAGTTTCTGGATCGGTTCAAGATTTGCTGAGCTAGCTCAAGATACTTCAGATCCACATTATTTCCATGGAAGATGAAATCTAACATTTGGGGTGCCTCACACTCCAGTCGTCCAAACTCCAAAGGTGGGCTGCCAACCTCTGCGTTGCCTGATCAAGTTGATTGGGCTCTGGAAAAACATAGAATGTGTTCAACCAAATCAGTGTACCGAGCAATGGCATTTTCGTGTGCGAATCTCAGCTGCCTCGTATGTAATTTTTTTTTAAAAAATCTCGTTGCTGGTCCTTGTGAACAGTCCTCAGTGTACCGAGCAATGGCATTTTCGTGTGCAAATCTCAGCGAACAACTGAAGAAGAGGAACAGAGCAGATAGGCTTGTAGAAAAGTTTTGTTTCCCTTTTTTCTTTTTTCTTTTTTTAACTCAGAGGTTATATATAGGCTTATGGACATTCGGCACCAAAATGGCGATCGTTAAGTTTTTGGGCAAGCCAGCTGACATGTGGAAAATCTTTTGTTTTTGAGAAGAATTGGGAAGAGCTGCTGAACGGCAAGCAGCAACTGAGTTCACAGCTATATATGCCAACATCACTTACGCAGTACACAGCGCCATGCCAATGAGAGCCGCCGAGCCCAAACAACGGCATTGTAGAGCTACGATGCAGCAAAACACACACGCGAAATCAGTGGTCTGTTGCATAGATTGGACAATACAAGCAGCAGCTTCCGCATCACCGTCACCGCAACGCGCATGCCACGCCCACGCAGGGACGGCGGCACGAGTGAGCCCGGAGGCCCGGAGTGCCGGGCCTAGCTAGGTGAGCTCGTTGAGGAGCGCGGTGGCCATGGTGGAGAGCTGGTCGAACTCACGGTTGGCGGCGGCCATCCGGGCCTTGGCCGGCGCGGAGCCCGCGAGCGCGGCGTCGCACCCGATCCCGGCCTGGCCCGTGAGCGGCAGCAGCGCGCGCGCGGCACCCCAAGCCGCCGCATGAGCTGCAGCGCGGGCACGGACGCGGCCCCGTACAGGATGCCGCACGCCTCCAAAGCGTCCCGCGCGGCCTCGCCCTCGCCCAGGATGCCGCACGCCTCGCCCCCGTACAGGATGCCGCACGCCTCCAGCGCGTCCCGCTCGCGGCCGCCACGTCCGCCGCCATCAGGAGGTGGCCGTGCCGGTCCGCGGAGGCCGCGCCCGGCACGGACCCCAGCCGCGACGCGCAGAAGGCCACGTCCACGAAGTCGCGGATCGCGTCGCACGAGTCAGCCACGGTGTCCGCCGCCGCCGCGCCGCCGTAGCGTAGAAGCAGAGCGCGGCGGCGCCCACGGCGAGGAGCGTGGTGGTCCTGCTCATGGCTTGCTTGTTGTTAGGTTCAGGACATCAGATCGATGAGACGCAAACTGAACTTTACACAGGGGAAACACACGAGTTCTGCAGTTAATCGACGGACATGGCAAGACGATACGATCAGCGCATTGATTATTACATTACAGTACAACGAGCTTCTCCATTCTCGCGTAGCCGAGCGGTGGTGGGCGGATCATCAGCCGGTGGACATGCATGGAGGCGACGATGGCGTGCGCGACGAAGGCCACGTCGGTGAAGCCGCCGTTCTCGCGGGACAGCGCGGCGGCCGCGTCGCCCGCGATGCCCTCAAGCAGCCCGCGGCGACGTACTGCGCCGCCTGCAGCACCTGCGGCGCGACGCGGTACCGCCCCGCGGCCACGGCCAGCGCCGGCATCGCGCCCGCGTACAGCTGCAGGCACGACCACGCGGCCGCCGTGGCGCCGCCGCCGCAGGCGAAGGACGAAGACGGCCTCGATGCTGTCCTTGGCCGCCGCGGCGTTGTCGGCCGCCAGCCTGGCCGCGAGCGCCGCCACGGCGGGCGCGTCCCGCGCGGCGCGGCACGGCGCAGAGGGACGGCGTCACGTAGTAGCTGCCCAGCCTCCCGCACACCTGATCCTGCGCCGGGGCAGGGGCCGGCGCCGGCGCCGACGTCGACAACGAAGCCTCGCCTGTGTCGGCGCCGGCCGAGGCGAGGAAGAGTAGGAGCAGGAGGATCGGAGAGCAGGAGGACGACCCGGCCGCCATTGCCGCTGTGCTCGTCTCCGGTTTGGTGTTGTACTAACAGTAACAGCTAGCTAGCGCGGGCACAGGCGCACAGGCATAGTTTCACAGTCACAGGGTCCAGATGTTCTTGGAGAGTGATGGTTTTCGGGCTCTGGCCGATCAGGTCATGATGATCCGCCGCACTCGCACGTTCTCTGTCCGTTCCGTCGTGCTTCTTCTCAACGGCCGGCTGTTGTGGTCGGGGCAACTCCCATCAGAAAGGCACCTACTCCTACTCGCGTTTCTCTCAACGGTCGCTCAACTCCATGATGCAAATAATAATATGCAGTGCTCCAACCAAGCAAGTCAAGTAACTAGTCTACTCTCACCGTATGTGTTAGGCTGTTTGATCGTGTAGTGCTAATTAGTAGCTGCATACAGACCTAAACCTCTCTTTTTTTTCCCTAGCTGCAGCTAAAATCTAGATACCTAAATCCTCAGTAATAGTTAGGCCCCTTTAATTTGGACCAGAGTAAAGTTTTCTGTTTTATCGGAACGCCTAGCGTCCGGATGTCCGGACGTGGCTTCGACACCTGCGCCGCTACGGCGTCCGTATCCCACCCCACGCCCTGCATCCCGCATCCCGCCCCAGCACGCATGCCTACGTCCGTCGTAGGTACCCGCGCCCCGCACGAGGAAACCCACGTGGGTTGACCCACGGCTGTTCCCCCAGCAGCAGCGACAGCCACCGGCCGCGCCGTGCAACACCCCGATCTACTTTTGCAACATCCAGATAAAACCTTTGCAACATACGTCTAAAATAGATGAAACATTTGGAACATACGGTTAAAACACCATTGCAACATGTGCAACATCCCGATCTACTTTTGAAACATCCAGATGCAACACTTGCAACATACAAAAGAAGACAAATGAAACACTTGAGACATGCGTCTGAAACACTTGCAACATACGTGTAAAAAAACATATGAAACATTGGGGATAGATGCTTGCAACATACGTGTACAACTATTGCAACATCCACATGAAACCAATGAAACATACATCTGAAATAACTGAAACACTTAAAACATGGGCTTGCAACATGTATGAAAAAGCATCCAGAAACACATGAAGCATAGCATCGCCGTGCGGCCATTACCTACCAGGTGGACAACTGCGGTGGCACAGGCTCGCCAGATGGTGTGCGCCCGCACGCCCGCCATTCCCGTCGTCGGCCGAGGGAGAGGAGACGCTGTCGGATCTAGGGTTGGGCACCGCCGGATATGGAATTGAATTTATAATTCCATGCCAGCACTTCACACAAGTGTAAATTGCTAATTTGGTTTGGATTTGTGTTGTCTGTCCCTTTTAAGCACTTGAGAAAGACATGGACAAGTTTCACAAACCTGACATGGGCAAGTGTGTGCATTGTCTTTGTCTGTTTGCATCTTCTCGTTCGGGCTTCTTTTTCTTCTCGATGTCTTGAAATTATTGCGTGTCTTCTAAGATCTTCACAATAGCTCCTTGTCCTTGCTTGAGGTGTTGATCACTTGATCTTCACATTGCCTTTGTCTAAGTCCATCCTTGCATCCTTATAACTAAATACCTTGTTACTAGCAAACAATGTTAGTCCTATTAATTATGTTGGCACTCAATCACCAAAATTGTAGATGGCCCTAGCTAGGTGCCATTTTCCTTACAATGTGCAAGTGTGCTTATGGGTTGGGGGCCGCTGCCTATTGGAGATTGGCGATTTGCTTGGACGCATTTGGCAAAGTTCCAATCAACGAAGTTGTATATGAGTGCATATGTTGCATTGCTTGAGGCAAACCATGCATAATGATGATAAAGGAATTGCTGACATGCAACAAAATTGGAGGTTGTCAACTAGGACGAGGAGGCAAACCATGCAAGAGGAGTTGAGGATTGAGGTGTGGATGCATGAGTAGAATAGGAGTTAAGACGAACATCCTACATCTCATGTTGGTGGCTTCTACTCGATAGCTAGGCTGCCATTTAAGAAGTATGCACATGAAAAAAAAATCAAAACTGTAGTCGTGCATTTGCTATGCGGGAGGCGGATGATTCAATTAGTCCTCAGTGGGTTTCTTTGACATTTAGATGTGGTTGTTTATTATTGTGCTTGGCGTTTCTAGATTTGACTATCATAGACAACCAGGAGGAGTCGGAGGTCACCATGGCATGTGTGCGTTATGAAAGCATCTGGCCGCTAATTTAGTTTTTGTGATTAATGATGACATAGAATCATTGTGACTAACGTGTGTTTTACAGCGGCATTACTTTGTGAGGTCACAATAATGCATTCTGATTGGGTTTTTATTGTTTTCATGCCCCGATGATGGATTTTGATCCATTTTCAAAGGATATGCATGAAGGCTAAGGATGAGCTAATCCAAGGTGTCATTTGATGAAGAGAGACACTTAGGATAGGTTCTTTTTTTCTTCTTTGGTCATACTATAAAGAGGGGTATGAATAGTAGCTTGTACTAAGTGAGTCTAGTGAGTGGATGTAATGCACACTTGTGAAACTAGCACTGGGTAGCTCAAATGAAGCTCAAGGATAGATGAAACTCAAAGCCAAACTTAGAGGGGTTGATTGGAAGAGTTTGCACTGCTTTTATAGCCATCGGAGAAACCACTGGAGTTATGGAACAATGCTTGGCTAGGGTTTGCTTGAACTGTGCAAGGTGTACTTTCGATGTGTGCACTGAAGTTCACAGCAGAGTTACGTAATAGAGACGAATGCAATTGGCTATCAAGGTGAAGATTTCGCCAGAATTCTCTAGCATGAGCACCGAAGTATACACCAGATGTCCATTAGTCGTTACAGAGACGAGTGCAATTGGCCGAGAAGAAATAGGGTCACCGAAATCCTCTGGTGTATCATCGAATAAAATCCGTATGTAACGACTAGTTGAGGCTCGAGTCTATTCAAGGCGAACGGAATTTCCGATGCGGCACTGTGAAGAAAGCACCCTTGGAGGAATCGGGTGAGTGGATTTCTAATGGTTAGTTTGGGTGCTTGGCCTATATATACCATATCCTCTCGTTTTGAGGTCTTTTGAAAGCCAGGGGCAATTAGCTACGCATAATTGGGCCCAAGAGAGTGATTTGGCCTATTGGAGTGATTATCACATCTTGAGTGGAGGTTAAAGACTCCATTAGTGCTTAGATAATAGTAAGTGTGCATCTACTCTTATCATTAGGCTTGGTTGGGTCAAGCGAGAGCATGTGTTTGTTACTCTTGATGATCAGCGTCACCTAGATGACATGGTGGTGGTGTTACTCTTGATGAACTTTCACATTACATTTTGCAAGATGAAATGAAAATTCGTGCAATACAAATAGGGGTTGTAAAGACCCAACCCTAGGGGGCGAACGGTGCGGCGGATCCAGGCCCTGAACGCTAGGGGCCTGCCGCTGGATGTACTCTCTATAACGTAGCAATTGTATAGTTGTGTGTATGCATGGCTTGATCTAACAAATATTAGGAGAGGAAAGGGATCGTTGTTGACTCACTAATTTCTTGCTGGAGGCTGGGCTGTGCTGCTAGCCTGTGCGTGAGCTCTCTATCTTCCGGATCTCCATTTTTTCTCATTAGAAGGCCTCACGATGTTACGTTCCTAAGGACAATCTCATTAGGGTTTCATATACATTTAATAAGTTAACACAACGTAAGTATTTTAATAATATGACAACATTTTTAAGAAGAGAGAAGATACGACTCTTTCGGTTTGATATCTAACTTTAGATAAGTCATAGATATAAGTGTCCATGAAAAAAAAATTACAAATCAGAAGTGACGGCTTTATTTATGTTTTATTGCATTCTACGTTTCTTCAAAACAGCGCTATAAATTTTTTCATTGAAAATATGGCCTAATCCTGGACCTGACTTTGATTACCGGCTGCCGCCCAGACTCAAGGATATGCAGATGGCACCGGCCCACTCGATCGTGCAACGTTCTCCTGCCTTCCACGCAGCCACGTTGACGACTGACTGCCAAGCTGAGACCCGAGAGACGAGACCTCACCTCACCGCCTATCCGACGGCTGGCCGCCTCCGTTGGCCATTGTGATGACGTGATTCCAGACGATTTGTAAGTTTTTTGCTTTGTGCTTGTTGTTAATTGCTAATTGGGTTCTTAAATGTCGGTACCTTTATGGTGTTACTTAGTATGGAATCCTATATTGATCTTCTGGTACCTCTGCTCTCATTTTCAATCTATTTAATTTGTTCTTAAGAGTATCTATTATTGTTAATGCTAACCAGACCATTTTCTCCTATATATGTTCGTCCTCATATTCACAGCGTTAGCCAAAAGAAGCTTTTCAAATTTCATTGTTAAAGTTATCCAAGAAATATCTGATGTCTACGATGACCTAAGAAAGGCTAAACGAATGACGGCTTCACATCAACAAATGTTAGAATAAACTTTACAACAATATGTAGATATTGATTGCTAACATCGCTTTTGGATGGATTTAAGTGTTTACGTGTGATACTACAAATATATAAAGGAGTATCTATAATAACAATAATTTCTTTTTTTATAAAGACACTCCTCACATCTGATATATCTTAAGAAACAAATGCTAATATAAAAGATTGGACAGCAAGATACAAAACCACCTCTAGAATAAGAGTGCATCAAAAACCAAATCGAACGTCTTCTTCCTTCGATCGTCAAGTACTTATCGGAGTTTGAATATCGCACTGATGAAAGGTCCTTGTTGGTTTTGGTAATTGAGTGACAACCTAGGTAGACTAATTGTGTTTATGTGAGATACACAGGTGATTAGTCCACAGGTACATGTGTATGAGCAACATATGCCATGGAGGTGAAAATGGCTTGGAGATGTTGCAAAGCTCACACATGTGATGATGAAGGAGCTTATTGCACATGAGACATGACATTGAGTCATGTGGTCAAGGTGGAGAAGATCAAGACAAGACTTGGCTTGATGGACCGGTTGCAAGCGTGAAGGGCAAGTCGAAGGCTTTGGAGTGATGGACCGCGTGGCGGTGAAGCTTGAGCAAGACTTGGCGCCGATGGACGATGGCAACGGTGAAGGGCAAGTGAAGTCAAGATCGATGAACCAATATGATCACGTGATGATATGAAGTGGATCATATCATTGTTGATCGTGTTGGTGCATGTGTTGCATCAACATTGGAGGAGATGGAATGGAATGCGCAAGGCAAAGGTATAACCTAGGGCATTTCATTTCACCGGTCATAGGTGTGTAGAGAAGTATATGACCGGGTTTAGGATAGATGGCCGTACTATCAAGAGGGGCAAACTTGTTTGCATATCGGTCATCTAGTGCCACTCGAGTGATCTAACTTTGCATTGTCGCTAGGATCGAGTGGCGTGGCAAGTTGAGTGGCTAACATCCTTTGGGAAATGATTGTGAAAATGCTAACACACATACACATGATGGTGTACACTTGGTGGTGTTGGCACATTTGCAAAGGAGGTGGTGTTTGCAGGGGTGAGATGGGTTTGGGTCCCTCTCTCCCTCCCGCCGAGCTTGCGAGGCGGGATTCGGCGCTTTCGGGAAAATAGAATGCCTATTTTCTATTACGCCGGATGCAAATTCTTGGTGGTTAGCACATTGGAGCAAGGGTGAAGAAGTTAGAAGTGAGAACGAGTTGGTCGCGAAGATGCTGGCGTCGGTCAACTGACCGGACGCTGGATCTGAATGCACCGGACGCTGGCAGGCTGCGTCCGGTCGCGCTGACGTACGATGACGCATAAGCTGGAGAGTGACCGGACGCTGGTGCTGCGTCCGATCGCGTTCGACCGGACGCGTCCGGTCATGCTCGGGAGCTTACTGGAAACGACCGGACGCTGGGGTTGCTGCGTCCGGTCAGTTCATGCTGGAGCGTCCGATCGACAGATGACCGTTGAGATCCAGTGAACAGCGTTTGAAGGAGGGGACACGTGGCGTGCATCGCACGACCGGACGCTGAGGTCCAGCGTCCGGTCGATCGGACCGGAGCGTCCGGTCGGCCCGACCGTTGCCCAGTGAAGGGGTAACGGCTAGTTTAGCCCTTGGGGCTATAAATAGAAGTGGCCCTCGGCCATGGCTGGTGCTGAGCACCTCAAGGGACTTAGTGTCCATGCTTGTGAGTGCTTGGGAGCCCTCCATCACACACATACTTGATAGCGATCATCCGATTGTGTGAGTGAGCGATTCTAGTGCGATTGCATCGTGAGGTTGCATCGAGTGGCACTAGGTGATCGAGTTGCGAGCCGGTGGTGCTTGTTACTCTTGGAGGTTGCCACCTCCTAGACGGCTTGGTGGTGGTCTCCGTCGAAGCGCGCAAGAAGCTTGTGCGGCGCTCCGGAGAAGTGCTTGTGAGGGGCATTGTGCTCGCCCCGCGGGAGTCGCGAAGAGCAACTTTAGTAAAGCGTGTCATTGAGCTACCCTCACTCAAGGGGTAGGTTCTTGCGGTGCCCGACGTGCGGGCTTAGCGGGTGATGCTAATTAGCCGCCGAACCACCAAGTGAGCGGTCGACACAACGGGGACTAGCGTGTTGGCAAACACGTGAACCTCGGGAGAAAAATCATCGTGTCAACCTTGTTCTTCCCGTTGGTTTGCATCCCCATTACACAAGCTTGCAATTACTTATATATATATCTTAAGCTTGTGTAGTTGCTCTTGTAATTAGATAGCTTGTGTAGCTAGCTAATTACCTTCTTGCTTGTGTAGCATAGAAGTAGCTCCCTTGCGTGGCTAATTTGGTTTTAGTAACCTTGTTAGTCACATTGCTTAGTTTGTGTAGCTAAGTATTTGCGCTCTCTAATTAGGCATTGGTTGCCTTGTTATTGAGCATTGCTAGTAAGCTTAGTTAGCTTTGTGTTTTTGCTTACTAGCATGTATAGGAGCTCCCTTGTTACTTAAAGTACTAGTGGCATAGGTTTGTGTGACCTTGCTCCTAGAATTGTTTAGGAGAGCTCTAGCTAGCCCGGCACCTTAGTTGCTTTATTAGTATCTTTGCAAGGTGCTAGTGAACATATATAGAGGGGTGTAGTCTTGGCTAGACCGATTGTTTTAATTCCGCATTTATATCGGTTAGCCGACGCGATTAAGTTTTAGAAAAGACTATTCACCCCCCCTCTAGTCCGCCATCTCGACCCTTCAACTGAAAAGACAGCAAAGAAAGAGAGACATCTACAAACACTCTCACCAAAACAAGGCTTTGAAGACGGCGAAAGCCACTCACCACTGACAGCGAGATCTAGCCTCACTGAAAAAACATCAGCTAAAGGATCCATTGAAAAAACATCAGCTAAAAGATTATTCCTCTAAAGAACACATTTATTCCACTACTCCTTCCGTTCCAAATAAATTATAAGTTGTTTTGGCTTTTCTAGATTTATAAGTTTTACTACGTATATTTAGACAAGTAGACATAATGTATATCTCGATGCATAACAAAAGCTATGCATCTTAAAAAAAAGCTAAACAACTTATAATTTGAAATGAAGGGATTATATTAAGAGGGGCCTGTCTATAGTTTCGCTTTAGACATTCAAATTCGGAACTTGAAGTTAAATAATATATGCTATAGAAGATTGAAGATTTGGTCGAAAAAATCAGGAAAAGCATATCTGGTTGTGGCCCTTTATCATTTTCTTTTTCTCCCTTCGTTTTAGCGGTTTGTGGCATGTGGGCAAGTAGGGGCGGCCCAATGGCACATGGAAACAAATTCATACGAAACTATCATCAAAATAATCAAGGAGTGCAATTTGGACGGTATTGATTACCCTCCCAAATAATAGATCGATCGTTTAAGTTTGTAAACCTAGTGTAATTGAGTTGCTTACCTAGTTTTTTTTGGTGGAACAAGTTTAGTTGAATTCAAATTCCCGGTTTAACACTGATGTTCGTATTTTCCTATATTTATTCTAAAATTTAGCTACACCATACTTTCAGTTGTAGACGATGTATGTGCCCATTGTAGGAAGGCACCTATGAAGATTTTCTGTAAAAGAAAATTCTATATTTTCTGATAATATTGTTAGATGAACGAATTAACATCTATATGTTCAAAATATATACTATCAAGTTATTTCATGGAAAATTTAATGAAAACTCATTTGATGCTATAGCCTACATATTGGTGATTTTTCTATGATCATGATCAAGGCTATTTTTTTTATTTAGGACAAATCCAAAACAAAACCATAAATTGGAATGGTGAAAGTATATATATTATAAATATATATAAATTTAAGGCGTAATATATGGGCCTCATGGTGTATATAGTGAGTTAAAATGGGAACTTCGGGGAGCTATGTAATCGAGAAGCCCATCTAAAAAAACAAGTGAAGCCCACGGTAGGCCCAAAAATTGCGTCGCCTCACCTGCCCATCCAGCCTGGCGTGCTGATCCACTCCACTCGATATACAAGTACGGAGGCAGCAGAAGCACACTCCGACTCCGGCACTCCCCGGTTTCCCGCTCATTTCCCATTCTTCACCCCTGCCGCATCGCCTCCAACAACTCTCCAAACCCTAGCCTTCTCGATTTCCAGAGCCCCGCGAGGTCGAGCCGGCCATGGCCCCCACCCGCTCCACCTCCGACCCGTGCTCCGTGTGGTCCTCCTCCTTGCGTCCGCCACTCGACCTCCAGCCCGCGGTCCTGCCAGAGGACGACGACGGCGACGACGATCGGGCGGTCGCGGAGCTCCTCAACGCGGCACTGGAGGGCGACCTCTCCCGCGTTAAGAGTAAGGCGCTCGATCGGTTCCCCGCTCGTCGATTCGCTAGGGTTTTGGTCTCGATCTGACGCGGGTTTTGGTCCGTCTGTGTTTTCGATGGGGTTTTATTTGTGGTGACGTGCAGAGCTGGTGAAGGATCTGAGCGAGGCGGGGAAGGGCGTGGACGAGGCGGTGGCGGCCGCAGCCGTCGGCGTGACGGGGACCAAGCGCCGCGGGCCTCTCCACATGGCTGCCGCGAACGGGAACGCGGAGATGTGCCGGTTCCTGACCAAGACTTGCGACGTCGATGTCGATGCGACCGATTCTGATGGTAATTGTTACTGTTTCTGTTTCGTTCTGCCTTTCGTTAGATTGGGTGCGATGTGCTGTTGAATCGTGCTGTTTCCGCGAGGTTTTGGGTTGGGTGCTGCTCAGGGTCGAAAGGGAGTCAGGGAGATGCGTTGCCGTGCCTGTGTGTTAGTGAGGAATTAAGAGGAACTTTAAGCTGTAGAGATCTTGTGCTCTGTAATTCATGGTCCATCAATAAGTGGGCTTAGTAATTGAGGCTGAGACCCCAAATATATATGGGCCAGTTATTCACTAATTGGGCTTTGGCCTGGGTTAGAACTTAGAAGTATTTTCATTCCTGTTATCGCTAAATAATGTAGCAATTGTGTTTTAAGACCTGCTTGTTCCTTATCTGGATCACACTGAAATCAAAAGGGTTGTTGGAATAAGTAATGCTACGATAGGCAGATTTAACTTATTTTGATGATTAATTATGCTGGGTACTACCTAGCCGAATGCTTTCCTTGTATCCTTGCCAACAAAGTTTGCCCCATGCCTTCCTAATTTCTCTCTGCATGTGGAATTATTTCTCTGGTAGGCCTGTGCTATACTTCGCAGTAGAGGATGTGTTTTTCTTTCTGTGACATTAGTAAGTTGTGAATGCTCCTCCAGTGTATTGTGCAGGGATTTTATTTGCCTGTGAAATATCGATGGAAGCTAGTTGGTTGTGGTCACGTACTGACACAAATTTGTGTAACATAGCAAAATTTCAGTAATCAAATGACAGATGCTCCTGCCTTGTTTTTTGAGTGGGATTGGTTATATTTCTATATACCTGTACGATTCTGCAAAATGTGATGCTGAAGTAGAACACAACCTTTTTTTCTTTGAAAAAATAGTGAAATTTCATTCTGACAGTCAGTTTAAATATTGGTGGCGTTCATAGATGGCTTATGTTGGGTCCGTGATTCTGTGCTCTGTTTTGTTCTCGGCTGTATGACCTTCTCAAATCTTTCATATATGTATTATGTTGTATTTTGGACCTGTACAAATAGTTTCTTTCTTGTTTTTGTTAAAATTATTGTTGAGTTATGGACATTTTAAGTATAGTTTTCTGGAGTTGCACAAGATAAATGATTTAATTCTGTTGCAATTTCCTCCCTATTTTTTGTAATCCTTTGTCATGACTAATTTGTAAATTTGTTTGAACAATGTTTGGATATGCATTTCTCTGGCTGATAAGATTATTTGTTGTGTACTACTTTATTTAGTCAGAAGTGGAATCATCAGAGTGGTTATGAAGTGTTCACTCTTTCTTATGTCTTTTAGGTGCGACTCCTCTAATTTTTGCAATACAAGGTCTGGGATCCACTACAATTGTAAGGCTTCTACTCAACAATGGAGCCAATCTAAACAAAGCAGATAACAGTGGGGTTGCTCCGCTCCATATCGCTGCAGAAAGAGGTTCTTTGCCCATGCATTTGTGTTGTGCATTTTTTGTTTAGATGTTATTTCAGCTCTCTTTTTGATCTATCTATCCATATCTCTGTGTTGTCATATATACCTTTTCTTTGTTCCAAACAGTTTGTGGTATTTGGTCAGAATATGTTTTTCCCCGCAACATTGTAATTTTTTTTTGTGGCTATATGGGTTGCGGTTGCAGAAACACTTTAACTGGGACTAGTATCCAGCACTGCAGTTCATCAAGAGCCGATTGAAACCATCGTTTACACTCACATTATGTTAATTCATCAGATGCCATGTTGGATAGTACTATGAACAACTTACAACTGCATAAACACAATATAGATGTAACTTGATATATACTTGGACTGGATTGGACCTGAAAAGGTTGTAACATGTCTTAATTGCTTCAACCTGGCATTACCTTAAATGAACACTAGACCATCAATTCAGTATAGGAGATACAGTAATTGAAATCTGAATCCTGTACTAAGGGGGTTCCTTGAGTGGGAACGTGCTGTTTTTTTTGTTGGATAGAATATTGTCATTAAAATAAAATTAAGTCTTTTTCCTAGGCTTAAGCATTGGTCAAAAGGTCACCTATAGGTCTTCATTGCAGACTTTCATTATGTTTTCATATTGTTACTTTTGATTGTAGGTTCATAGAAATTATGGCTCACGGTGATGATTGCCTTTTAGTTGCAAAGTTCATTTTTCTGAATATTATATGTTTCTGTGGTATAATCATTGATTCATTTCCATGAATTTCATCCAGGTTTCTATGAAGTAGCAGAGCTGTTATTGTCCAGGGAAGCTAAGGTTGACCTTATGTGTGAAAATGGTGGGGCGCCAATACATATTGCTGTTGAAAATGGACATGCTAAAATGCTGAAGCTATTGTTGCAGCATATAACAGACGTAATAACTTCATGATTCCCTGCTGTTGTTTAATCTTTTTCATCGATACTATATGGGGTGGAGTTTAGTATTTTACCCTTATTTCGGGCTAAAATTGCTCGTCTTGGTAGATTCTTCCCTTGATGTTTTTTTTCCCACTCAATAAACAGCATTAGAAGCTTTGTATACCTAGCTCAGCCGTGGTGGCTACTGGCTAGAATGCTATTTTCCTTGCTTTACTGGCTAACTCAAGGACTCTTATTTAACTGCTCATTCCAATGGCATATTACACCTTTAAATCTTATTTTGCTTTTCTCTAGTACAATGCTAGCAATCCTGCTACTGCCTTGGTCATATCTGCTGGGAAAGCTTAACTGACTGTATCAAGTGTTTGTTGAAAGCTGGTGCCGATGCAAATATTTCTGATGAAGTGAGTTTTATCTTTCTTTTTAGCTTGTTATAGCTGTAACTGTTCTCTTGCTTCTGGGACCTCTGTCCGTTATACTAGCAGCAGTGCAGCACTACTTTCAGGAATTTTCTAGAGTTAATGTGTTATTGAAGCATGCCAAGATCTCAAGATTTTTTGTGAGTACAGGTTTTTTTAAGGTAGTGATTACAGTTTAGAACACCCAACTACACAAGTGAATCTAGGGTAACTAGCAAAGTTTTCTCAGTGATGCAATTTGTTGGTATCTAGTGTTTATTGTCATTGCTTTCTGAAACCCGTCCTTTTTGGTAGCATGTTTAGTGCTATACGGACCAAATATTGTTTTCTTTGAAAGTATCATGACACTAGTTTATTTAATGTACTTATTTCATAGCTAGGAGCAATTTTGAGTAAAATACTGCTCGTCTTAAAATCTGAAGTCCAACATCTTACCTTGAATAAAAAAATATTCCTATCTTTATCACAGTGATAATGAAAATAAGGAATTGAAAATGGGCTGGCTGAAGTGTTCATGTACCTGTTCACTTTTTCACATGACTTGCCAGGGATAATGGGAGTTATGAGCACATGTGCAGTGTCTAGACTATGCCAATCGCATATACAATTGTTATTCTCATATGTGATCTCGGTGTTGTATAATGATTTCCCAAATTCTCTTTGTACTTTTGTATATTGGTTATTCCTTGAGCTCTTTTTTTTTTAAACATGGCAGGAGCTCGCCTCTCAATTAACATAGGAATAAGAGTTTATGTACAGAAAAGCCAAAGGCACGAGTGCCCCAAAGGGCGCACACCGAACTCATTTTCTCCGCTAGGGAGCACCGACAAAAGTGGGGACCAACTGAAATTGTTATTAAACACCCTCCGTGTAGTTCGATGTCTTCTTTGGCTCTAGAGGCCACACTGCCTTGCGTCCATGGAGCTATTATGGAAAATCCTCCTATTCCTTTCCTTCCAAATGTTCGAAGCGTGTAGATTACGACCCGTTGAAGTGTCGCCGCCTTTGCTTTGGAATCTTGGCAGCCACTTGTTCCCACCCAACGCCGATTTCAAGCTGGCTGGGTCTGCATGCATGCATCTGAGGTCAACATCATAATGCTCCTAGGTTAAGATGAAGCCCAGATTTCTTTAGCGAGGGGCACAACAAGCACAAATGGAGGCTAGACTCTAAAGGGCCATCACACATGACACAATGCTCCTGGTGTGGCTAATTCCTTAACTGCAAGTTGTCTGCTGTCAGGATTTTATTTTGTATGAGAATCCAAGAGAAGAGCTTGCATTTGTTCTCCAAGTGCGCTTTCCAAATTAGTTCCGGCCAGAATTGCCTGTAACTCCCTTGGAACTGGATGCGATATGCTGACCGGGTGGAGTATACACCATCGGGGGTCCATTTCCAAGCGATGGAATCTTGCATGTGTGTGTGGCTGTAAATGGATGTTCTGAATTCTGAGCTAGAGGGATACAAACTCCTCCACTTGGGTGGCCGTTGTGATCTTGCCTTGGAGGGAGCGAATCCATTTGTTACTTTGAAGCTCCTGTTGGACCGATCTATTTTTCCTTCTGACTAGCTCAAAGAGATGTAGCGCTAGATTTCTAGGGGCTTCCCCATCTAGCCAACTGTTGTGCCAGAATTGCGCTTTCGCTCCATTTCCAATAGTGACGATGGTCGAGGCATTGAAAAGCAATCTATCAGCCGGCTTGCAAGGCAATTCACCCCCAGCCCATGGCTTGGAGTCATCCACCCAATCTTGCCATAGCCATCGCAGGCGCAGCGCTCTCCCAAATTTGTCCAAGTCAGTCACCCCCAATCCACCAAGGTCCTTTGGTTTGGAAACTGTTGGCCAATTGACAAGGCAGTGCCCCCCATTTGCGTTCTCCTCTCCCTTCCAGAGGAAGGACCTGCGGATTTTGTCGATATGTTTCTTGGTCCAGGTGGCTAAGGGGAAAACAGTAAGGTGGTATATAGGCATGGACGAGAGCACTGAGGTGACCAATGTGAGGCGCCCAGCTTTGTTAAGGAGCTTGCCCTTCCAACCTGGGAGTCTATGGCTGATGCGTTCTATGAGTGGTTGGACATGGATTTTTTGGAGCGGCCTGACGTGCAGCTGGAGTCCTAGGTAGCGACAAGGGAAGTTTCCCCTAGTCCCTGAGAAGGCCGAGAGGACATGATCAAGATCGATATTCTCGCATCTGATCGGGTGGACTGAGCTTTTGTCCATGTTTATGCGCAGCCCCGATGCCTTCCCAAAGGCTTCCAGAATAATTTTGATGGCCTCAATGTCTTCTTTTTGGGGGCTAATGAAGATTGCTGCGTCGTCGGCGTACATGGACATTCTCCATTTTATTGCAAGAGGCAGACCCGTGAGGACATTGTGGCCTGTGGATCCATTGCTAGAATGAAGAGCATGGGTGAGAGCGGGTCGCCCTGACGTACTCCCCTAGCGTGACTAAACTTTGGGCCCAGGGTACCATTGAGCAGCGCTTTGGATGTTGTACCAAATAGGATCGCTATTCATTTGTCGGTGTTTCGTACAAGCACCGGCAAGTAAATTTATAGTAATGCGCGTTAGGCTCGGATGGTGCGCTAAAGGACACAAGATTTATACTGGTTCGGGCTGAATATCCCTACGTCCAGTTTGTTGCTGCTCGTGTTATTAGCACCGTGAATGGTTCGTAGCAGGGGATACAAACGATCGAGAGAGGGACAAGTCCCAAGTCTCTGATGGAAGGGTCGAAAGGAAGCCAAGAGCTCGGTGGCAGCTTGTCTAGGCGTGTCTGTTGCGTTGTTTTTTCCGCCCCCTTTGCTGGAGGAAGCGCATCCCCTTTTATAGATGAAGGGGACGGCCTTACAAGGGTCAGGGCTTAGGATCCGTGCTCTACCTAGCCTCCTTACCCATTCTCGATGGGTGCGAAAGGAAGATAAGCGCCTACAATCTGTCGATGCTTACAGAGAATGTCGGGATGGTTCTGAGAATAGTGCCCTGCGCAGCAGGTATGAAATTTGGAGTACAGTGGTTTTGACTTATGAACCTCGCTTGACCTTGCTCCGCACGCCTATACGGCTCTATGAGTCTCTGTCGGAGGGACGCGGAGTCGAGGTCCGGAGAGTAGCGTGGGCAAGGTCTCCTGCGATTTGGTGGACCGAGGGGTCGGGAAGCGGGCGCCGCTCCTTGGGTCCATAATGTGGTGACGGCATGTCCGTCATTCGTGGAGATTACAAATCCTTTTCTCGGAGTGTAGTGGTTGTCGTGTATCTTCATCGGGTCCCGTGTCCCAGTCAAGGCGGCGCCTACAACTCTCTGAGGCGAGAGTACGCGCCTGCAATACCTTTTGGGCTCTGCGGCGCCCGGGAGGGTCTAAAGCGCCTGTCCAGTCGTTCCCTGGCAGTACCTTTCCTACCGGGGCGTAGGGTATGGTCCTTGAAGCCGTGGTTGACCCGAACGTCTTGTCTTGCACTGTACCCATCATCATGAGGGAACGGGAGAGAAGTTATCAGGTAAGATAAAACCAGCCTTTGGACATCGAACGGGGCGAGGTTCGTCCTCGGTCGTCGGGCGAGGCGGAGCCCAGTCCTTATCCCTTGGGCGTGACCGAACCCACCCCTCGGGGGTCGGGCGAGGCGGAGTGTATCCCTCAGCCCTCGGGCGAGACGGAGGCCAGCCTTCAGCCCTCGGGTGAGGCGGGGCTGGCCCAAAGGCGTCGGGCGAGACGGAGGCCAGCCCTTTGCCCTCGGGCGAGGCGGGGCTGGCCCAAAGGCGTCGGGCGAGACGGAGGCCAGCCCTTTGCCCTCGGGCGAGGCGGGGCTGGCCCAAAGGCGTCGGGCGAGACGGAGGCCAGCCCTTTGCCCTCGGGGCCCTTTGCCCTCGGGTGAGGCGGGGTTGGTCCAAAGGCGTCGGGCAAGACGGAACCTAACTTTCGTCATTCGGGCAAGGAACGCAGCGGCGCCCTTGTCCGTCCAGAAGTTTTTAACGTTCGATGGTTATTGGTTTCACCTTCTGGGGTACCCTGGTATTAGGTCCCCGACACCTTTCACGCCCGGGGTCCAAAGCCGAATGCCTGTAACACCTCTAATAAGTAGCTTCAGTTAACTGTGTCGAATGTTTTTTGGATATCTAGCTTCATGAAGAGGGCCGGAGTCTTGATTTTGTGTAGATTCCTCAGTGTTCTGGACGTATAAGAAATTGTCATGTATGCTTCTTTTCTTGATGAAGGCGCTTTGGCATATGGATACCAAGGAGTCTAGATGCGGCGCCAGTCTATTTGCAAGGAGCTTAGAGAACAGTTTGGCGACGCTGTGTATGAGACTGATATGTCTATAGTCTGTGACCCGCTTGGCATCAGGCTTCTTTGTGAGAAGAATAATGTTCGCCGAGTTGAGTAGATCAAATCCTTGTGAGTTCATGTCAAAAAGAGTGTTGACAGCAGCTGTGACATCAACCTTGATAATTTCCCAGCAGGTTTTAAAGAATGCCCCTGTGAAACCGTCTGGACCAGGCGCTTTGTCTCCCGGCATGGAGCTGATAGTATCTCATGTTTAATTTTGGTTATTCCTTGAGCTGTCTCATGTTTAATTTTTAATTGTCCTTGAT